CAGGTCACTCTGGAACAATGAAATTTGAGATCGTCTGCATAAGGTACAGCGTTTGCATATGGTAGTTTCAGGTTGCTTATTCTATACATCAACACAAGGCGTCTATTTTCAGAAGCTGAAAAATCGTATGTTGCTTTATCTTTCTATTTTATTCGAAAAACATCGATGACCATTTTATTTTGAAACAGATAATAAATGTTAATACTTATTACAGTGTCATCGTCATTAACAAACGTTGATGAACATCAAGGAGATATTCCAATGACTACAACTGTCTTAACAACATTGGTATCGAGTACGTATAAAGCATATAGTTAAGAATACAATGTTCGTTCTGTTTGCTATTGAAGAATCTGTTAGTGATTGCTACAACGCCGAAACACACGGTCACGATTATATTGGTAAACGCAGTTATTCAAGATCTAATTATTCATGCCTTTTATGGTTTACAAAATCTACTGCACATACGTTTGATGAATTTCCTGATGGAAGTTTATTTGAGGCAAAAAATTATTGCAGGTTTAGACATACCTCTATGGATGATTGAAAAATTATTTTATCTATTCTACTGAATAATATTCTAGAAATCCTGATAATGAAATTGGTGGTCCATGGTGCTATGTAAACGAGGGAGCATTAAATTGGGAATTCTGTGATATTCCATTATGCGGTAGATATATATGATAATCTATGATGCAAAAGTAACTGGACAAATGTCTCAATTTGTTTTGTGGTAAAGTACGTTCCGAGACTATCAAAAATAGTTATTTTGAATGTATACTTCTGGAACTTTCTAATTATGTGTTCAAAAATATTCTATCGCTTTTAGTCTTCTGGCAGCGAGCGAATCTTTGTTATCATCAAAAATTTAGGCCAAAATGATAAAAATTTTGAATATTTTTTCATTTTGACAATAACCACTTCAACTTAAAAGATTAAACTATGGTTTACTCACTAGTTTATAAAGCAGAAATTTCTCTGCCAACTAGACGATCTTAGATTATTTTTGCATTGCAAAAACTGGTCTAACTTTTAATTTTACCAAAAGCCTACTTTGTGAAAAATTGTGGGAAAAAAAAATTTTCCCGAAAAACACACTTGCCTGCTCTGGAAAAGAATATTTTCCGTCTGACCGGGGGAACATTTTTTATTGCGTTCTGTTACAGAAAGCAAGGGTAAAATAAGTTTATCCACAAGAGACTTTCCTTGCTTTTTGATTTTGCCAAGCTCGTAACTTACATTTGTCGAAAGATGCCAGATTTTCTTTTTTTACAAACTTAGTTTTTAGAGCATAACAAAGATTCGCTCATACTGAGGAGACTAAAAGCGATAGAAAATTTGTGAACTCACAGTTCGAAAGCTCTTTAAATGTAGATTCTCAACAGATTTTTTCATTTTCTGAAATGTATTTTATCGCAAGAAAAATGGCGAGACATTTTGTCCAATTACTTTTGCATCGTAGGTTAACAGACGATTTGATTCTTCTTAGTTTAATAGTCTCTTTTCATTGTTCTCATACACAGTGACTTCTGCTTCTATTGCAACTCATCAGATTATATCTACAACAGCTATAATAACTGAAACAGAAAAATATGAACAAGACTTTATTATTCACGAATTGAAACCAACACAAAAACCTAGAAAAACAAGAATCACAAAATTATCAACAACAACTCCAGTAACCATATTGAGATCCAGTAACTATCTTTCACATTTATCTGATAATTATTTTCTCTTTTCTCAATTTGATTTGTTGCAGTAGGACCTGTTGATTGTTACAATGCTGAAACAAATGGTCGAGATTACATGGGACAACGTAATTA